GAGAAGCTTTTAGGAGAGCTGCCTTTTGAAGCTTCTTAACTTCATTCTTGATTATTCTGTTCCTCATTTTCTTTGCCTTCATTACTTTAAAACGATCAAAGTCCGTCATCTTAGCTTTTCTTTCTCTGGCTTCAATCTTCTTGGCCCATCTTGTGGCTGCCCATTTTGTATTTATATCTGCCTTCTGCCAGGCTTGTCGGACATACTTCTGGCGGGCACTGTGTGGGAACCTGAGGATGAAGTCAGTGAGCTGCATGCATTTGAAAGGCATAGCCTGTCTTCTTACCTGAGTGCAAGGTCCATCAACCAAAGCCCTGTTCTGATCAATAACATCTACAATCGCGACCAGCTTTCCGGCATGAGGCCCAAAGGAGACGTAGGCCACTTGGCCAACCTCCACGAAGCGCCTGAACACCATGGCGGCGGCGTTCGGCGAGAAGCTGAATTTCATATATATTTTTTTTTCATTTTTTCATTTTTTTATTTCCTAAGACTCTAAGGAAAGAGAGGATTTCGCATAGTTTTCATGTGTCAGAAAACATTATTCTTCAAAAAAAGTAAAATAAACCAAAATACTACTCTTTTGTTTTTTTCCCCCCCAATCATTTAAAAATCTTATCCTGTAGGCCATACAAAAACCGTTGTGGTCCAGGTTTGGCCCTTGGGCCATAGTTTGCTGAGCCCTGTTCTAGAAGCTAAAACATGGACAAATTCTAAAATTATAACAAGCTAAGCCAGTGACCTTGGGTAGAATGAGGGTTAAAGAGAGATAAGCATATCCTTGCCTGGACTGGATAGTTTATCCCAATTTGTCCCAGTAATAACAGCCTCTCTTCCACTCTCAAAAATCCCAAATTGGGGCCAGGAGTGGTAGCTCACACCTGTAATCTTAGCACTCTGGAAGGCTGAGGCAGGAGGATTGCTTGAGCTCAGGAGTTCGAGACCAGCCTGAGCAAGAGCAAGACCCCGTCTCTATTAAAAATAGAAAAATATTAGCCAGGCAACTAAAAGTAGAAAAAAATAGCTGGATGTGGTGGCATGTGCCTATAGTCCCAGCTACCCGGGAGGCTGAGGCAGAAGGATTGCTTGAGCCCACAAGTTTGAGGTTGCTGTGGGCTAGGCTGACGCCACAGCATTCTAGCTGGGGGGACAGAGTGAGACTCTGTCTCAAAA